AAAATTTAATTTTTAATTAAATTAAAAATTAAAATCATAATTCTTGATAATTAATAAAACCAATAATATTAATAAAAATAATACCAGTATAGAATAAAAAAAATTATTGAATCTTGAAATGAAAACTTATTTCCTCAACCTTATAATCATCATTAGACAGTTCACTCCCTGGCTGAAGTCCCTCATAATCGATTTCTAACAAGTTTTTTTTTTCTTTCCTTTTCTACGGTCTGAACATATTTGCACTATTCAAAATTTAGATTTTTTGCAGAAGCTCATTTTTTTTAATGTAAACAAGGATGCATTGTCTTTCTAACATGTCTAAATTTTATTATGTTATTCATACTTTTTTCATAAGAATAAAAAAAATTGATTCCAACATTGAAGTTTACGTTTTATGAAATAAATAAAAAAAATAACTGTGCTTATGGCAAAGCTGCGCAGAACTTGATGATTATTTTTTGAAAGAATATATAAATGCCAAAAAAATGAAAAAAAATTGATTGTAGTGGCAGGATACCGGAAAGGGTATTTTATAGACTACATACAGGTTATTTAAGTATTCCAAAGAATATATCAAAACCATTTTTTTCAATTCATTCTCTATCACAATCATGGCAGCGATATTTCGCTAAAGTTTCTAGGCCGTTTACGGAACATACAGCCTAGTACGGAACAGAAAAACCAGAAGAACTTGCTGCAAGTTTTGAAGGATAACAAACTGAATGAATGAATGAATTTTTTATTGAGTATTTATACAATAACAAACAACCAAAGTATCCAAGCTCAATAAAAAAATATTTACGGTTTGGTTTTTAAAACCGTCAGCCGGAGGCTGGCTTTGGCAAAATAAGTATTATTGATACAATAATATAAATTAAAACCTACTATGTTAATGTTAATAAATACAATGTAAATGCTAATAAATATAGAAACAAAATATATCAAATCTTAATATCACAATTATAAATACACAATAAAATTTTAATATACAAATACGTACAAATTTTTAATATGGATATTTTAATGTAATCACATAAATATTTTTTTCGCCTTAAATATTATTCATCAGTTAATAATTAAATTCTTGGCATAAGGCATATCTGTAATGCCAGGCTGCTTTACAATAATGGGATAGATGTAACCAATTTATTCCAATCAAATATGCAATTATTTCGCCAAATGTCTGGCTATCTTTTCCAAAATATCATCTGTACAGTTTAATTTTATTTAATTTTATTTTATTTTATTCTCCTTTGGCCTTAAATATCCATTTTATTATTGTTTCATTGTATTTCTTATTGAAATAATTGTTTCTTGATATATCATGATTCAAGTCTTTGTATATATTTGTTTTATTTGAATTTTTTGCTAGAGTTTTGAACCTATATTCTAATTCTATTATCAGTTTTTCTCTTAGTTTCTGAAAAGCACGTTCTATTTATTTGTGTTATTATAATCGAAATTTATTTGGTATTGATTTGCTAAACGTTTTACCTCTTTATACCAGTCTATTTCTTTTTTAATTATTTCTTTTGCTATTATTTTGGGTAACCTATTATTCGAGTACTGCATAACTATACATATTTATGGTGCGTTTTTATATTTTCTAGATACAACGGAGTTAATTGCGTTTCTATATGAATAATATATGCAGGTGTATATCTGGGTAAATTTAATATTTTTTTAATAAAAGAGTACTGAACAGTTTCCACTTCTTTATATTCACAACCTCCCCACACCTGTGCACCATAAACTGATCTAACTGCACCTTTTAAAACTTTAAGTTTTGTATTCAAATTTATTTTATTTTTATTTATTGCATTTATTTAACAAACTGTATAAAATGATTTAAATTATGTAACAGAATACACAGTGTTTCTACCTTTGTTGTTATACATGGCACCTTAAACTGTAATTAAATAAATAAACACTGCAATCATCTACTCTGGAATCAATTTATTCACTTCCTGTAAAGTTATTGTAAAGTTTAAAATTAAAAATATCACTAAAATGAAATTACTCAAAAATGTTGAAATTAGAGTTAGTCATTCTGTCAACTGAAAGGCTCAAATATTTATATAAAGCTAATATGAATTTTATTGTATTAATTTAGGAAATAAATATTGTATGGCATTGGCGACAGTATGGGCTTATTAAAACCATATGTTTATTGTGTTTTTGTTTATTGAATTAAATTTTCCAGGTTTCCTTCCCACACCATTCGCCCCCTCTCGACCGCAGGCTGCTCTGAAATATTTCTCATGGGGGGGGGGGGCGGAATATTGCTCCATTTCGGTTCTCTTATTAAACCCGACGGACCACCCTAACTAAGCGAAGGCGTCTCTTTATAAGATTCGAGTTGAGAAAAAGTGTTGAATATAAACTGGACCAGTAATGGAATTCGACCCTGGATTAGTTGTTACAATTCCATTTTTCCATCTTTAACTTTCAATTCGAATCGATAATTCCATTTGGATTGGTTACTCACTGCGGCAGATCGGCTAAAAGTAATCGAGTGCTTGCTGAGGAGTTATGGGCGATTTTCTCAACAAAAGAAAATTATCGGGACTTTTACCGCTTTTAATTCAGTAAATTATTTTTTAATAACTTCGAAGAGTAATTTGTGTATTATTAAGGCTTCGATAAATGCAGATAGCTCTTAGCTTTTTTTTTTTTTCCAAAATAGGCCAACTTTTTTCAAGGAGTGAAATGAAACTTGCATTCTTTAAGTATTCTTCAAAAAAAAATAATCCATCGAAAGTTTTATTCAAATTAAGATTAAAAATAAATTAATTTTATTGTAGTCAGTATAATTAAAACGATCCTATTCAAGTTTCATTTAATTTTATTAATACATCTAATCATCAAATATTTTAGGAATTTATATCTGAAAATAAAGAATTTCTTAATTAATTATTTTTAAAAATCAATGGCTTTAACACCGGTGACGCGGTTGAAAGAGTAGCGCAGAAATCTCTTGGAGTCCTGCTTTTCCCTTTATAGTTGGAGGGACTAATCTGGCTTGGGGTTCCCTACCTGATTGTATATATTGTATGTAGGTATGACTGAGTTTTTAATTTCTTTATTTTATTATCTTTACGTTATTTTATTTTTTATTGTACATAGTTGTTTGATCATTATTTAGTTATTATTTTACTTTTGTTGATTTTATATTTTCTGTATATATGGTGTGAATGTGTTCATATATCACTATAACTATTGTCCACGTGAAAGATTGTTATATTTCTAAACAAATTAATAAAAAAAAAAAACTACTACTGATCATCAAACATTTTAGGAATATATAGCCGAAAATAAAGAATTGCTTGATTAATTATTTTAAAAAATCAATGTTAGTGTTGGCATTATAATTGAAATTGAAAATATAGTTGTTCGATTTTCCTGAAACAATTATTATGCCCTGCTGTGTAATTTAGCAACTCGATAAAATTGAACAACCGTGTAATTTTCTTGTATTTCTCTCTATAGTTTACTTCGGAAATAAACAACGCATATGCAACATATAATATACGACAACATTAAATATTTTCTAATCTCTATATATGTATTGGTTTATTATTTTCAATAATGAATCATTGTAATCGAACAAAAATTCAAAAATTTAATCCCCTCTCAAAATTTGAGGTTTTACGTATACGATAAGTAAAGGATACGTAGAATTCGAAAAACGAATACAAATTTTTTTTGTCCGTCCGCAGTACATTTTATCCGAAACTACTGGACCGATTTTTTTCAAATTTGGATTTATAATCAGAGGTCAGCCGAGGTTTTTTTTTTCTTTCGACGGCCCAAGATTCCTACTGAAGTAACATACTGCAATCTTTCTAAATTATTTTTATCAATAACGACAGCCAACAAGAGTCTTTTTCGTAAACCGAGCGGGTATGAACCACAACTTTTTGTTTAAAGTTTTAAAAACCTAACGTTCTGAAAGGAAAAAAAGAAGTAGATAATAAAAAAAAACAACCTTTTAAAATTAAATGATTATGCAGTTATCACAGATTGCAACTGTGATTAAATATTTTTGGTTTTCAACATGAAGATATAATTGAGCTTTTTTTTTTTTTTTCTATTAACTGAGGGAGATACTGAATAAAGAGTCAGTAAGTTGTTCAAAGCTTAAACTAAATAAAGAGTTTCTCTAATTATACTGTAAAAATAATCTCAATATTCCTCTCTTCTACTTCGGTGCATAATATTTCGTTACCAATTTATTGATTTTAAGCCTTACATCAATATTTATGTTTACACCAACTTACAGTCACTCAATAGCAATGAAACTGACAATATGTGGGTTGACACATAATAAGACATGACGATCATGATGCTGGTTATTATGAGAAGACACATGTATTTCATATTAGAAATATAATTGACAAGTACATGATAGACTTTAAAATGGCTCGACTAGCCGAAACGTAGTAGTAAGATCTTGTAGTGAAAACATTGGTATTAAATAAATAAATTGTAATATAAAAATAATGTTTGGGCAGAATCTAATAAAAAATGTGTCCCATAAGCAGAGGGAAATATTTATAGTAGTGATAAAAGGTAAAAAAAAATGATATAAACATTGGTCTTATTTTTAGCAGAAAAGTAGAAAATTTAAGTTTTGGTGTTTTTTTAAAGTAAGGTTTATGGTTTATATTGAATAGGAAGTGATAATTAAACAAATATTTAATTTAAGTAATGAATAGTTGTTTCTAGTTCTAATTTGGTCTAGTTTACTATGGAGCAATGTTTAATTATTTAAATCAACAGTTTTTTTAGTTATCGCTTCCTATTCAACAAAAAACGTTGCTCACTTAAAAAAACAAAATTATAAAATTGTCTACTTTTCTGCTATTCATATGAACTTTTTTGTTGATCTTAATATATATTATCAACCTTTTATTTCCCTCTACTTACGGGGCACACTGTATAATGAAAAAAAAACTTACCTAGTTTAATTAATAGATAAAAGTTTGTTTCAGTACCAGGCAGTTTGGTCGATTGGTTCAACCCTCAAAAAATTAAGTGGATAGATTAAATAAAACTTGAGTGCGCCCAACTGAAACGACTGCTACCTCAACACTAGTTGGCTGTCGAATCTCTTTCTTATCAGTTCATTCTATTGATTAAGATTCATTGATTTTTTTTTTTAAATTAGATTGGAGTCACGAAATGCTTTGATCCACGTTTCTTAGAAAAAAAAAATCAACTAAACTATACAACCATAAGACACGCCATAAAACAAAAAATATGTTTTGTCCCTTTTACACTTTCAGATGGTAAAGAAAAAGAAAACAGTTGCGATGATGATTGGACAAAAATTGAAACTTTTAGCATAACGCCATTACGTGAAATTATATTTGAATATCTATTTCATTGATTTATTGAGTTCAAACTTTTATTTTTGTCGAAAGTGTATTAATTATTGTAATTTGTTGATTTCAGGATATACTCTCTTTTTTTTAATTTATTCTTTTACTGAATTAATATTAACCATTAACTTATCAATTTGTCTGATATTCATCTAATGATAAATGAATAATTCGGCTAATTTTTTTTTTTTTTTTTTTTCCTTTTTCTCGCCTCTACCCTAAAGGGTCATTGGCGTTTTCTATGATTTATACTCTGTTATAGTAGTTTACAATTTTTAAAAAATTTAACACTATCGAGACTCTTTCTTCATTGTCTTTTAGTATTTCTTTTAGTGTTTTTCCTAGTCCTATTTTTTCTCTGAGCCTTTCGAATTGGGAACATTCTACTAGAAGGTGTTTCACAGTTTGCGGTGTATTGTTACATTTCTCGCAAGTAGGAGCTTCTAGACCTCTTAAAAGATAGCCATGAGTGAACTGGCAGTGCCCAATCCTTAGGCGGCATAGTATAATTTCTTCACGCCTAGACTTTCTGTTGCTAGTGAGCCATTTATCGCAATTGGGTTTCACTTCTTTCAGCTTACACTCTTTGATCCTCCACTCTTTTTCCCACTCTGCCAGTTGTTTTTTCTTTATTTCGTGTACCCAGTCTTCTAAAGTGATATATTTCACTCTAGTCACTTCCTCTTCTTCTCCTCCACTTCTTGCTAAATGGGCTGCATTGTCAGCATTTTCATTTCCTAAAATTCCGCAATGAGCTGGTACCCATACCAATACAACTGTTATTCCTTTATTTTTTAGATCCCACCAGATATTGAGTATTTCCCTAATTATGGAGTTTTTAGGATATGGATTGTCAATGGCAGTTAAAACGCTGTATGAGTCCGTCACAATTACCCAGTAGTTCTTTTCAGTTTCGCTTATAAGATATAAAGCATTCATGATGGCAGTGGCCTCTCCTGTGAATACTGAACATTCTCCAGGTAATTTAAACAGTAATTGTTTCTCCTTACTCGCTAAAGCACATCCTACGCTACCTCCTTCTTTGGATGCATCCGTATATATAAAATCGAAATTTTTATATTGTTCCGTTAGCTTTAAAAAAGATTTTTGTATTTCAAGCGGATATGCCTTTGCAATTTTAGTCATAGATTTGTTAATAAATGGTCTATCTTTTTTCCAACGCGGCATTTTTAATTCTGGGATGGGTATTATAATGGTCGTATCCATGTTTATTTTAGTTATTGCATTGTAAATTGCTTGTTTAAAAATGTTATTTTCTATATTTCTAAGTCCGTTTCTTTCTGATTCTTCTGAAAATAAATATGGAGTTAATGGGTGGTAGGAAGATGCTTTCAATTTATTTATTTATTTATTCGGCTAATTTATCCGTTTTAATGTTAGTTTTATTTCAGGCGTGGATTTAAAAAAAAAAAAAAAAACTGACGAATCAATGTATATAATTTTTTTCAAAATGTCCGACATAATTCATGTTTGCTGTTATGTAAATACAACTGATGCCAAGTGATGCCTTTGAAAGTTTTTACACGTTTATAAATAAAACTAATTCAAGGCAAAATTAAATTTACATGTATCTGTCAACAATACATTACGGATGATGTTTTAAAAGACATCGAAAAATATACATTATTATTTCCTTTCTATATAAATAATGGTTAACAAAAACAAAAATCAAACCCTAACTATGATTCATAAATTTAACAATTCTTGGCCAACATCACTAGCGGACCTAGGAATTCATTTTGGGGAGGAGAGAGAGGGAGACTTCAGTTCGAAAGCTTTATATAAATATATATATATAACTATAATTAATTTAGAAGATAAAAAAAGAAACTAACTACCTATAAGAAATAGTGTTTGAGTGATGCTTAAGGTCTTATTAAATGTAATTGACGAACAATCATACTTTTTAAAGATTATTTTTTTATTTTATAAGCACACTCTGCCGTTATGGCAATATGGGTGTTATGCAGTCAGCGAGTAGCAGCGCATGCGTTACAACTCACTGCTGCATTCAGACCAATTACATTTTTTTATAACTTAGCTGTGCACACAGTTCTTCTTTTCAGCCAGCGTCCTCTCCCAAACTCTCTGGCTATCTTCCGGATGCAGGTCCATCTCTTCTTCCCAATGAAAAGTGGGTTGAACCAGCGAGTTCCTTCCACCCGTATACGAATGCCTTGTAGTGCGGATATTTTCCATTGTCATTAGTTGAGGGAGATCGCTCTCCGTCAGAACGTAAAGCGCCCCATCTCCCTCAACAACTTGGCCCTCAGTGCCTCAAAGGCGGTACAGACAAGGACGATATGCTCGGCGGTCTCCGGCACTCTACAACTTGGGCATAGGTGATCAATGATCTTACCATATTCAACGAGCTTTCCTCGGAAATCCCCAGGCCATGTGAGGAACTGTGAGATCCATTAGTTCCGGAGAACCCATGTCTGTTCCATTTTTGAACTAACGGTGGGGAAGTACTTACTTCGCGTAGCCCCTTTTGGCGTCGTCACCCACACCTGGTTCCATTCTTTTAGCGTGTTCTCCCGAAGAATGCTCTTCCATCTATTAGGGTCTTCACTGATCCTCACACGGAGACTCGCCGGTTGATCCACCAGGCTTTCCCTTTCCTTCTTGTGCCGAAAGTATTCATCTCGTAGGAGAAGATCAATAGGAGTAGTTCCGGCTAAGACCTGTGCCGCCTCGTGAGACACTGTCCGGTATGCTCTAGTGACCCGCAGCAGAGCCCATCCGCTCGATTGTTGCCAACCTTTTCTTCAGGATAATAACTTATTTACGAATAGTCAACTTGGCTGTGTACCTGAGACACCTAAATGCGCCTCCGATGCGACTAAATCCATTGAGAGCCAGAACCACCCTACTTTTCATGTAGTCCTAGGAAAACTAATCGGAATTAACATTGAAAACATTAAAATTTATTTATATTAATATTTCGATTTATTTAAGAACTATCTTTACTCATAGTGGGAAGAAGAAACCTTTTTATGAGATTATTATCATCCGCCTACAACTTCATGAATGATATCTTATAGTAATCTATATTTTTTTTATTTACTGTTATTAATTAATTTAACGAGTCATAAAAAACTCATAAATACCCATTTGATTTCAAATTAAATCATAAGGTAATTTGATCAAAATAAAAAAGGGGAGGGTAGTACACGAAAATATTTGGCCGTTTGGTCTGTATGACTTCGTTATTTTGACTTGTTGGGAGTGTAGGTCATGGCAAACCACCCGATATTTTTGTAAGATATAGTTTTTCCCGATTTTGTGATCAAATTATTTTACGATTCAAATGAAAAGCAAATGGGTGTTCATGAGTTTTTAGTACTTCATTAAATATCCAAAGTTTGCCGATCTGCAGATTGAAAACTCCACAATTCCGTTAATTGTCATAAATAAAAAAGCTGTTTTAGGCGGATGTTAATGATTTGATAAAAAGGGGTCTGCACCATAGACTATATATGTATTGGGACATTTTTATTACTTGTAAAAAACATTTAAGATAATAGATACAAATCCAAACAATATTCTTGTAAGTATAAAGGTTTTCTTGAGCTCAGATGGAATGTTTTGATGAAAAAAATTTGTAATATTTCTGACCAATAATTTTTTTGGAAGCTACTTCGCATTAGTCGCATTTCTATCCGCATTATTCAAATTTTGAAACTTATACAAGCGGAGGCTATCTCTCAGTTGAGTCAGAGGTCGAGGTTCGTTTACAATGCAGGCAGAGCCATTCGTCAACAAAAAAAAAAAATCCTGCAAAAAGACTTTCAGAAATAATAAATGTGTTTGTTGCCGGATAAAGGAGGTATATATGAGTCCTGAATGCTATATAACATTTCCATATTTCGGCGGGAATTGATAACATTTTTTTTTTATACCGCTGTAATCAGGCCGGAGGAAGGTAAGTGGTTGGAAGCCCGCCACCTAGCCTGGACTCCCGCCAAATCCTACCGTTTCCCGCCTGAATAGACCAATACCAGCGCATAGATAACTTTTTGCCGCCCTTACCTAGATCAACACGTAGATTTATATGGAATTTATCTCTGTTCGTCCCCCGAGAAGTGGGAAGGGAAACTGGAGTCGTTATCTCAGTTATTAAGTGTCTTACCAAGTCAGGGCACGAAGGCCGTCTCACGAATAGGAAGCTCTCAAGCAATTGAATAAATTAAACGATAATTGAAATCGGAATAATTTATATTCTGTCGGAGTAATTTATATAATGGAAATACTTGTGCTCAAATAAAAACAATACAAAATATTTGAATTAAAATGAAAATAATTAGGGTATCTTTCACACCCCAAACGAAACTCAAGACTCAGATGTTGACATAAACCTATTGATGGAATAAAATATATTTTCTAGGAGCTATAATGTGTGATGAAGAGTGCCTGACTATTAAAAGTTTAAATATAGGTTGATACAAATTTTCTTAAAAATCTACCAACGTTAATTAGATATTAGATTAATTAGATAGATACAAAAAAGTTCCCGCTCTTGTCACAGGTACTACTAGTTCGCCTTCCCGCTAAAAGGCAGCGCCCTACAAGCTCGCCTGTGCAACATACTAAAAATTGTATCTTTTATTTCTTGTTGTTGTATTATAAAATACTCAAATTATAAATAGGTATATGTATACACATTGTAAATGCTTTTTATTAATAAAGTTTATTGGCGATAACAAATACTGATCAAAGCTTAAAAATACTGTTA